AGATTGACAAAGTACACTGCTGAGGGGAGCAGCGGGCGGGTCAGGAGAGGTCTGCCATGCCATGTGGTCATCTCCGGGGCAGGCAGGGATCGAACTCATGCGGAAGCGGCTTTAGCTTCTTAGTGCTGTGCTTTAACCCGCTGCGCCACCAGGGAGGGCCCAGTACACTCTTTTTTTTAATACTTTTCCTTCAAAACCTAACTGCTGACATCTTCCTGTCCTGTAAAGCCACACAAACAGTAACTCACAAAATGTTATCCGTCCTCTCAGTCTCTGAAGGATGATGTTCCTTGTTTGGTTTGGTGTTAAAATTCTCTTCTCCATTAATATATAAGCTCTTTGAATATGAGAACCATGCCTCCTTTCTATATGCCTTAAATACTTGTTGAATTAGCAATAACTTTAGTGAAGAACCCCTGGAAATCAGTAAGGTGGTGTTTTTCCTTCTTTTACTCATCCTCACTTGTGTTGTCTCTAGCTACGTGGCATAGGTGTCCCTTGTATGCTCTGTCATAGTCACAGAAGGTCTCATTGGTATGCTCACAGTCTATTAGGGACCAAGAAAAGAGCACTTTGGTAAGTAGACCCAATGGCCAGGGAAAAAGAAAAACGATATTGTATGGTCTCATTTTACTTATCATGACTGGCTAAGACAACGTTGCACTTTTTCTAGCCATTTATGTTATTGCTTCTTAACTATACATCAAAAAATACATACGGTTTTTGGTTATTGACCTCATCCTCAAACATACTCTTGAGAAAGAATGGAAAAATGTATTTATGTGGAAATTCTTTAAATCTGGGAGATGTATAGGTTTGTGATGGTTTCATGGTGATTTTATGGCCTGGCTGTTATTTCAAACTTGTGTTAGAATTGTTATCTTTACTTCCGTTTGAAAAGTATCAATATAAGACCGTGCTATATTTAAAAAAAAAAAAAAAAAGCTCTGGTCTATTTGAATTGCCTACCTCTAAGTCAGAAGTAAAAGAATTGTCCATTGTGACCTCATGCTTTGCCTGTGAACTTAAAGATAGTGCCATCCCTTCAGTTAATCATTATGTATCACATCACTGGGTTTTTGTTTGCTTTCCAATATTTTCTTTTATTACATATACTCTGCCAAGGCATCTATCATCAAAAATGAAGTTCTTGCAGACCATTGCATCTGCCTGCTTCTCAGCATGGGGACACTAGGGGGCGTGCTCCCTCCAAGTCTCGCACAACTAGAAACCATGCTGTTCAGACCTGGTGACGGGCATTTAAAAAGGAAGAAATAAACGCTGTCAAGGGATAGTTCATCTATGAAAACTGAACCTACGACTGAACCAAAGTTTGTTGGCAATGTAGAAAGTAGTTTTTTTCGGTAGACAGAAAACGAATTACAGAATGATACATCATTATACTTTAATAATTAAAATGGGGAATTCACATTAACTTTAATGACTCCTTTTGCCTCCCAGCTTCACCAATAATAGATGAATAACGGGCAGTGGAGCAATGGTTAACAGCACAGATTTGGTAGGAGACACTGCCTTGGTACAAAATGTTGCTGTCACTTAGTGCTTTGGGACACTGAACAGGATTTTTAACATCTTTATGCCTCAGTTTCCTCAAAATGAAGATAGTAGTTCCCACTTTTTAGGGTTATTGTGACAGTACAGTAATGTTTAAGTATCCAGGACAGGGCCAGGCAATAATTTTTTTTCAAAGATTGATTTATTTATGCATACAAGAACTGGGGTTTAGGCCAGAGGTACAGGGGTGGATTTACCCGGGAGTAGAACAAGCACATCTACTGAGATACTGCTGAGGGGAGCAGCAGGTGAGAGAAAAGAGTTCTGCTGTGCCATGTGGGTCAGGTCCCTGGCCAGGGGGGGCATCAAACTCATTCTGCAGTGGCTGCCGATAGCTTGATAGAGCCGAGATCTTAACCACTGTGCCACCCACAACGCCCAAGGCAACAATAAAAACATTCAATAATGAATAAAGATTTGATGCAATAATGAGTAAAGGTTTGAAGAAAAGAACCTGTGCACTGTTGGTGGGAATGTAAACTGGTCCAGAAGCTGGGAAGTAGTACAGAGGATCTTCAGAAAATTGAAAGCAGAACCAGCCTATGATCCAGCATTTCCACTTTTGAATATTTATCTGAGGGATGAGTAAGAAGTGAAAACATTCATTTGGAGAGCTCTCTGCTCCCCCATATCTATAGCAAGTCATGGAAACAACCGCAGTCTCTATTGATGGATGGATTGATGAAGATGTGTCAGTGAAAGATCATTCAGCCATTAAAAGAGAAAAATCCCACCATAGACTGACCTGGCGGGCGCTAAGCCAAGTGAAATCAGTCAGAAAAAGACAATACTGCATAACTCATTTATATGTAGAATCTAAAAAGGAAAAAGAAAAATACCAAACTTAAAAAGTTCAGCTTTGTGTTTACAAGAGGAATTTTTGGTTTCTTGTTTTGCTTTTTGCATCTCTACAAGATGATGGCTGCCACCTAAACTAACCGTGGTGGTCACTTCGCAGTGTATGTATCCATTATGCTGGATTCTTAAACTTACACGGCACTGCGTGGTAGTAGTATATATGTGTATGATTCAGAGGTCTAAGCCCACACCTCTTCAGATGTATGTTATCACATAACAACGACCATCCAGGGACCCATAGTCCTTCATGTATGAGGCAGGTATATGTCTGTAAAACTGGAAACTAAAAACTGCACTTGGGCAGTTCTGTGTTGGTGTTGACTGCCATCATACTGATGTGCCACATGATGATGTTCTGGTCATTGATGGACTTCATGGATGACGGTGGCCTGAGTGTGTAGTAAATTGTATAAGCATGTTGATGTTTGCACAGTGATGACATTGCCTAATGACATACTTCTCAGACCCTCGCCTCATCACTGAGTGATGCTTGACTCTAGTACTATTTGACTAATTTTTCTAATTCTAGCTGTCAGGATGTGGAATAAAATGGTAAGTTTAAAGGCAAAATGATGGATATTATTTCCTTTTTTATTCTTTAAATTTTTATTGAGAGATGCCTGACATGGTATAGGCTAAATGCTAGCTGTGTTGATTTGATACACTCATATATTACAGTATGAGATTACCACTAGAGAGTTTGCTAACACTTTGCTTGTTTTACTAAACACAGTACCCACAAGGTCCATCCTTGTTACAAATAGCAGGGTTTAACCTATTTTGTTTAAAGATTCACTAATTTATGCTTACAGAACTGGGGTACAGGCGAGAGGTGTGGTGGATGAGAGGATTCACCAGAGACAGATTGGGGAGCAGAACAGGCAGATCTACTGAAATACACTGCTGAAGGGAGCAGCATGCAGGCCAGGAGAGGTCTGCCCAGCCATGTGGCTCAGCTCCCTGGCTGGGAACTCGTGCTTCAGTAGCTTTGGAGAGCTTCGAATGCATTGCTTTAACCCACTGCATCACCAGGTTAAACAGGAAGCCCTGTTTAACCTTTTTTTTTCTTATAGCTGAGTAATAGTCCAAATGTGTATATACCACAACTTTATCCAATCGTCTGTCAATGGGCATTTAGATTGTTTCCTGTTCTTAGCTATGGTAAATAATGAACAATTTGGCCATTATAAATATGTGCTCTACATTCAGCAAATATGTGAGTGTATATTATCTCTTTGAATTAGTGTTTTTGTGTTTAGGTAAATACCCAGAAGTAGGATAGCTGGATGGCATGGGTTTCTATTTTTCAGATTTTGAATAGTTTCCATATTGCTTTGCATAAAGGCTACACCAACTTACATTCCCACCAATAGTATGGTGGTATCCCCTTCTCACCCTCTCCAACACTTGTTTTTTGTCTTTTGGATAATAACCACCCTCACAAATGAGGTGATAGCTCATTATAATTTTGAGTTGCATTTACCTTATAGTTAGAGATGATGAACATCTCATGGTCCATTGGTGATGAAAATGGGGAAATGTTGGTTCATCTCTTCCATCCAGTTTTTAGTTTGGTTTTGTTGAGTTCTTTATATTCTATATTGAGTCCTTAAGATATTTATGCTTTGCAAGTGTGTCGGTAGGACACCTTTTCAATTTTTTTTCTTTAAACAAGTGATTATGAATTTATTAAAAAGGTTGACTTAAACATTTGCAGTGGTTACTTCAGCCTCAACCCCTGGCTCAATGCTGATGGGAGTAAATATATTTAACAATCTCAGGAGACAACCAAGATGAAAAAATGTACAAAATGAAGAATGAGGTAAAAAAAAATTTAAAAAACAAAATAAAAACAAAACAATCTAAGGAGGACTGTCCAGGTAAATGAGTCACTTGCGGATCCTCATCTGAAAGTGACCCCAAGTCTTAGAACCTTCGCCACATGGAGTTTCCCTTGCAGTGATCCTCAGAGTCTCAGTGGGCATCAGAACTTGTCCTTTCACTTTGAGGTTCTTATCCTTTGAGCTGCTCATCAAGTAGGTACAAACCTCCAAAGATTTCACGTTGTGTCTGGTTAGAGTCATCTAACTAGGTGAATTGCTGTCTCCAGTTTGTTGGGTGTTGTCCGAGTATCTTTAAAAGCCACAGCTGTGGAGTGGCTCCCTGAGCTGCTTGTTCCTGGGGAGAGAGAACAGCGGTGAATCTGAAACAGGAGTTGAGATGATGATCAGCCCATCTTCTGTGAGGAAAAAAAGTACTTTTTCATTTTGATGCAAAATTTCATACATATCCATTTTCCAATGTAATTTGCTAGAAATAGTAGGCTACTTTTTTCATCTGTGTGTGGGCATGTCTTCATGGCATGTGAGCATTGTAGCATTCCCTCATTTAGACTAGCCCGAAGTGGGAGGTTTCTAGGGCTAACCTCACTTCTGATAAACTGCCTATCATGTGTGGGTCCCTATTATTCCTCAGGTTTGAGAACTCATTAGAAAAACTCACTGAACTGAGAAAAGGGCCATCATATTTATTTTAGTAAAAAGATAAAAGTCAAAGCAGCCGAAGGAAGAGACACATCAAGTGAGTTCTGGGAGAGGCCCAAATATGGAGATTTCATTGTTTTCTTCCTGGCACACTATCATGTGACAGACTATTGCCAACCGGAAGTGCTCACCTGAAGTTAGATGCCCAGAGATTTTTTAACTTTTTTTTTTAAATTTTTAAATCATTTTGTGCCTTTTCCATCTCAGTTGTAATCTCCATGGACTTCCTATCACCGATCCACCTATGTGCCATCACATACTCCTGGGCACTCCCTCCCTCACCTTCATCATTTTTAGTCCCATTCCCTCTCCACCCCCGTAACATGTCTCTGGAATATAGTTGTTCATTATTATTTTCTCCCCTGGTCCTTTATGCTCCTGCTATGAATGAAACCATCTGGTATTTTTCCTTTTCTTTCTGGCTTATTTCACTAAGCATGATCCCTTCCAGCTATTTTGTTGATACAAAAGGCATGAGTTTATCTTTTTTGATTGCTGAGTAATATTCCATTGAGTATACGTACCACATCTTTTTAACCCAGTCATCTGGAATGCATTAAATAAATCATCTGCTACAAGATTGAATCCAGTCTCTAGCATCTCTCCCCTCCCTCATTGATATCATATGATTTGAAGCCCCAACCCTTTAATCCCACAGTTGGTCTTTCTGGCCAGTCCCCATCTTAAATTGTTTGTTAAACTATGTAGAAGACCATGAGGAGTGACTTCATTAGCACTAAGTATCAGGGCCCACCAGGAATGACAAAAAACACTCTATTACTTAGGCAAGTCCAAGGATTTGGAGGCTGCTTCCCAGGAAATGGGATATAGGTCAGCGGAGTTCTATAGCATAGAAACAACCTGGAAAGGATAAATGAACAAGCAGAGGTTCATCATTAACTTCTCGAGTGGTAGAACCTCCTGTCTACTCCTCAAAATAAGGTCCCATACACATATGCTGTGCAACCAGTACTAAATCCATGTGTTATTAGTAAAGCTCAGTTTCTTTAACATTTTCTTTTCTTCATAGAACTGGAGAATAGGCCAGAGGTAAGGGGGGTGAGAGGATTTACCAGAGTCAGAGTGGGGAGCAAAACAGGTAGATCTCCTGAAACACACTGCTGAGGGGAGCAGAGGGCAAGACAGGAGAGGTCTGCATTGCCATCTGGGTTAGCTCCCTGGCTGGGATTGAACTCTGGCTGTAGTTGTGATAGCGCTTAGACTTAACCCACAGGCCACCAAGGCAGTGTGGGGGGTGAGAGGA